AACAATGCCGGCTTCCTTGAGACCTACCCATGCTGCAACCGTTGATGCGTCTTGCCCGGTCCAAGGTCGTCGGCATCTTGTGCATAGTCACTTGTACTGCACATCACTCCTGGTCGAAACCCCGCTTGAGCGAAACAGTTCTTGAGAAATTCACACTGCGCCGACATTCATGCGACGGCCAACATTTGTACAGATGTACAAGTCCACTTCAGTGTCACGGCTATGCTCGTATTTAGCAGGATTCACTCTAATGTCTTGACCGGTATGCATGCTTCACGCTGTTGATCTTGCCTTGATCCAAAGGCTGGATCAGCGAAGTGCAGTTGGGCGGGAAAAACTTCAGCTCAACGTGCGTCAGCTAGACGTTGCCGTTCAGGCGATGCGCTGAACAATTGCCCAGCAGCGAGCAAACACGGTGGTCTTGCCTTTTCATCTCATTGTCACAAGAAAAGCCAGTCAGTGAAAATGACCCGCATCATCCACAAATGGCTGTTCGCGACGTATTTCACTGGCGAGTTCTTGTGCCTTTAAAGCACCGCGGCTTGGCGCTCTTGCCGATGACGAGAAGGGGCCGCTTGTCGGACCCGTCCATATTTTCACAGAGTAACACGGTGACTCTCTTTGCTTTGCTTGCCTCAGTGGCACTGTTTTTCGTTGTCAAGTCGAGCGTCTTTGCTGCCAGCATTTCATAAAAAAGCCCGGTCATGTCCACATTGTATATGTTGGAGGCAGAGTACTTTTCTACGATGCTGGCAGCACTCGTCGCAATCCACGACGACGTACCGCCAGAGTCTGCCGAAGCGGACTCTCCGCACAGCAATTTTCCGATGATTTCGTGGCATTTTTTGAAGCGCTTCAGCCACCCTGCACTTGCCTTGAAGTTCTCGGTGATGCCTAAAATGCATAACGTCCCAAAACCACTATATGATTATGAGAGACGCCGTGGTGGAGGGCTCCGGAAATTTAGACCACCTGGGGTTCTTTAACGTGCACCCAAATCTGAGCACACGGGCCTACAACATTTCCGCCTCCATCGGAAATGCAGCCGCCGCAGCCGGATTCGAACCCGCGCCCTGCGGGTCAGCAGCCGAGTACCTTAGCCACTAGACCACCGCGCGGGGCTAAAATGCAGGTGTAGTTCAGCGCCTTCTGCTGAATCATATTGCCGCTGATTGGTATGTTCTTAGCCCTCGTTTCACAAAACCAGGCATACACTGCCTTTTCAAGCTTTCGTGGGCTGGCTGGGTCGTCTTCTTGCGTTGAGCAGATGTGCCCGACGCTAGCACCTTTGAAATACTCGCATCGGACTTAAGTATCGTCGACAGCAAGCTTGGCGAGATCCCGTACTCTTCCGCGATAAGTCCGTTTTTTCGTCCAGCTGCTGCCACAACAATTTCTGCGTTTTGCCCGAGCGAAAGAAACTTCTGTTTCTTGCTCTGCGGCGCTGCCATAGGACCTGGCAACCGTAGACAGAGATCGAGAAAAAGAAGCATGGTCGTAACTGACGAAGCGAAGCGTGCAGGACCAGCGAGCTAACTGGGCGAGGACTAATGCGGCTGGATTCGCATGGTGCTCAGCCACTAAACATGCGTAAAAAAAAGGCACACGCAAAGATAGCCAAGCCAGCAGTCAATACCGTATAAACCGGACTATAGGTCGAGTGGGAATATAGGTCGACCCCCCAAGTTCAGGTTACCGAAAAAGAAAAAAAAAGAAAACAACCCAAAACTGCCGAACCACAATTATTCGCGAATTGGCGCACCGCATCCGATCGTCGGAACTCCCCTCTACCACCATCGCAACTGCTCCTATTCGTCCGACGAAGCACCAACGTCTTCTGAAGACGAGAGTTTGTCGCTGGCCCCTCCCACAGTGCGTAGTCTTCAATGCCATCCAGCGAGTTGCTGATGCAACATTTCTTGAAAGAATTTTCCACCATGGAACCCGGCAAGGAGCGCCAGGCGGAAAGCACCCAGCCACAAACAGTCGCAAGCGGAGGCCTCTGTAGGCGGCCCGTCGGTGTTTTGGGTTGTCGCCGGACATCCACTCTTGGTATTCCAGCCGCACTCTGTCCTTGAACGGCTTGTTTAGTACAACGTTGAGCGGCTGGAGGTGGACGTCATACCACATGGTATCACTGCGAGGTCCATTTTCCCGTCCCCGAGTGCGCGTTTCACTGCGTCAAGTGGCCACGAAACACATCCAACCCAGCATGCTGCGAAGACGCAGCAGTGCACCTGGCCGACGGTTACACACCGCTCGTATCCATTCGAGCATCATGGCCTCGTCCATGTATCCCTTTTTGTTGACGCGAACGACAACACCGGGCGGGAACACTTCCTTTGGCATTGTCTTGCGATTGAAATGACGAAAGGCGGAAGCTTTCTACCATCTGCCGTGCATGACAGCATGACGGTGAAACGCGAGTACTCGTTGCCAGTGGACAGCAGCTTCACATCCTTGCGCCGCGCTGCGTGATCGTGGTCGACGAGGGCATGTCAAACCACACGGGGGTCTCATCGGCGTTGCCAATCTGCCCCATCATGTAGTCGTTCTGCTCCCGAAGCCGGTTTACGAAGCATTGATAGTTTATGAGCTTGTCCTCGAACTCCTCCGCAACTTTTGACAGATGGATGCGCCGCCGGAGAGAAAATCCTTTTTGTCGCATAAATCGACGAACCCAAGAGTTCAATGCATGAAACTCTTCTCTCGTGAGCCCAGCTTCCCGAGCGAGTTCCACGGCTTTCTTGCGAATGGTATCCACTGTCACTGGCAGCGAACGCGCACGAACTTCCCGCACAAGTCCGCTAGCTTATGCTTGGCTTTGCATTTTTCGACGGATTACACACGACTTAGTACGTTTGCGATCGTTTTAGCTGTCAGAAAATGAGGAGAATGTTCTATGTAGAAACTGAATGCGAGACAGCTGATAGGAATTCTCTGTTAGAAACAACTCTGGAAAAAAAACAAAGTGGACAAGTGCACAGGAGAACCGCTGTCATGTGTACCTTTCTCGCGCCGTTTTATGATGAAAAATGTTGCTACTATATAATTTACATTGTTAGAACTTATTAAAATTAGTTAGAGTGGTTCAGTCTGAGTCACATCGAGCGACTTGTGTCCCGAGAAACTTTCAGTGAACCGGAGAATAAATAAGTGATTCGTTGTGGAGGAGTCTTAATACATTGGGGCCTATGGGATGCGGGCAGGGAATCGAAAAACCTTTGTTGAAGCGGGATTTTCATTGTAGCGGAGTTTGAATGTATAACCAGAATGTGTGCACAAATCTTAATGAAGACGTGGAACTGGCTTTAGGAACAGCTGCGTGAATTCGAATGCTGCGTGACACTGTAAAAGCAGCTTGCATCATTGGGGAGCCTCTTATCCTACAATAACAAGTGCCATCTGGCTGGCTTACGTTGCCTCCTTTTAAAATCTTTGCTCACAATTTTCCCACCAAGAATTCTACGTTACACTGACAGCGTGCATGCTGAGACCACAATGTACTGGATGAAAGGCATTAAAGTAACAAAAGGCAAGTACAATAAACGAAGAAGCACTGGTATAAGAGACGAATGGCATAAGAGGCGCCAGTGTCTTATACCCAGAGACAAGAACTGCTGCCTGGAGCATGCCTCTTAGAAAAGGGGTTAACTGTTTCATCGTTGGAAAAAAAAAAAAAAAACACTAATGGGGTAACGAATGTAGTCTGTCATGAGATGATCTAAACCGTGCTTTTGTGCAAATAAGAACAGCAATCATGGGTCCATTTGAAAGAGTCAATAATTCGGCATTCTGTAATGCAAAAACTTCATTTGTTTCCCATGAAATACTAGTTAACAAGCTTTTACCGTAGTTCCATAATTGATTGATTTGTGGGGTTGAACGTCCCAAAACCACCATACGATTATGAGAGATGCCGTAGTGGAGGGCTCCGGAAATTTCGACCACCTGGGGTTCTTTAACGTGCACCCAAATCTGAGCACACGGGCCTACAACATTTCCGCCTAGATCGGGAATGCAGCCGCCACAGCCGGGATTCGATCCCGCGACCTGCGGGTAAGCAACTGAGTACCTTTGCCACTAGACCACCGCGGCGGGGCCGTAGTTCCATAAGGACGTCGTATTAGTGCGATCCATATGGGCTCGTTTCAACACACAAGCAACGCACATTCCTGCGAGCTCATTTGCGCACACAGTTCAGCACTTTCTCACAGATTCCCTTCTCATTCAGCCCCACGGTAAGCAGCTGTAAACGATGTTTATCAGCTGACAATCATAAGGGAATGAAGATTGGAAAGCCATGACTGCACGGCAGGCACTCCATCTGCTTGCTGATAACTCAGCCCAAAGAAGAAAGTTATGGGGCCTAAAATATTTTCAGGCTGTCCCTCTCCACAGTGATTAAGACAAGAATCTCCCATTTCTGAAACTGACAAATCTACGGGACAATTCCAAGGTTCACTTCAGTACCAGACACAGTTGTCGGTAGGCAGAGCACAAGTTCATCTTGCCATGCCTGCTCTTTATCATTTTCAGAAAGGTAAAAAACGAGCCACTCTGGACCACATGCAGCCAGCATGGCCGCATGTGACCTGTTTTGGAGTGGCTGGGAATCGAATCCATGCCCTCAGCAGCCTCGGTGAGCACAGAAACTTCCTTACAAACTGCAGAACTGGAACTATGCTGTAGAATATACTTTGATATAGACTACTTGAGAACATCTAGAATGTCACTGTAGACAAGAACGATTTAGTGATTGATATTGAGATACTCAGAGGGATGAAACTCCTCAGAGGGATGAAAATTCGTGAACACGAGGTGTCACTGGAGCAGACATTTTGACACCCCCATTCATGAATTTTACGTCTCTTCAGGCTTCAATGTCCCCCTGAACTCCTCAAGGGGCAAAACTACCGGATGCAACAGTACACTCCATCAAGGAGCTTCAGCCATGTTGATTGAAAGGTGGCAGTTGCTCTCCAGCAAGTAGCCCTTACCTCCGCCGCAGACTCCTCGCAGCCTGTCGAGTGAACGGCCCGCACAAAACCTGTGGTTCCACTGGCCTCTTCACACGTCTTGAGGCTCCCGCTCCAGGGGAAGTGGCTTGTCGAGCAGAAGCGAATGCGCGTCTTCAGGCTCCAGTCCAGGGGAAGACCTGGCAGTCTTGGTGGCTGCGCAGTCACGGAGACATCTTTATTTGTTTGCGTGGAGACAAATCTGCCAACAGGGGTAGACTATACAGGTGGACCTCAACGTTATGAAGTTCAACTATATCAAACTTCTCAACATAAAGAACTTCACGGCGAAAGATTGAGACAATAAATTTAAACTAGTGCTCGAGTCACGGAAAACATAGTACGTCAATTAGATTGGTGACCCTGCTTTATAAATTTTAAAGTGCAGCCCTCGATTTTGTGGCATGCAATAGTTGCAATTTCATCAAAGCCAGTAGAAGGCAAGTAGTGCAGTTTCTCGAATAATATAGCATTCGGGTAGCACTGACACCCAAAATTTCGGTGACAAGCCACCAGAGCTGCGCGAATAGAAAAATGTTCAGTGCGAAGCGAATAAGGTGTTGCGACAACACTTCACACATGAAGGGCAAAGCTGCTCTTTCCTCAGTCTCACCCCTCTTTCAACTTCTGAGGAAGCCCAGCTGATGTGGTGGATAAGGGTCTGCTCCACCCAGAGTTCAGAGTTTCAAATCTGCCTCGTGGACGTCAATATATGTAAGAACATCTCAAATTTTAAATGCTAAATCTATAGCGTCCAATTTTTTTAGACTTCCTGCCCTAATTTTCAGGCCCAAAGCTCAGCGGCAGTGGCACCAACGAGGTCTTTTTCAAACAACTAAGAAATCTGTTACTACGAAGGAATCTTGGAAACCTTGGAACCTTCCGTCAACACTGCAAACTGCCACCCTTACGCCCCAGTGCAAAGGTAGATAATCACTGGCCATCAAGCCGGCACGGTTCCTACGTCCCAGACCAGAATATAAAAGACTGCTGTACCGACGAAGGATCAGCACACGCTCAGCGGCAGTGGCACCAACAAGGTCCTTCTCAAGCAACTAAGAAATCTGTTAATACGCAGGTTGGTTTTCTTTACCTTCTTAGTTTGCTTTTATATATATACACATATATATACGTTGTGGGCCAATGCTGCTGAGTTATTCCAGTTACACCATTACCAGTTCATTTTGAGTGCACAGCCATAAGTGTGTTCCTGCGCTTGGGTCCGCACTGTTACCTTCGAGCATCAATGTGAGCGCAATGACTAATATTGCTTCCGCTATATGCCTGGTATGTGATCAGTTGCTGCCAACAGAGTGTATCTGTTCAGAGTGTGATTATGGTTATCATTTGGGCGCTTGTTCTGGTACGAGTAAGTCAAACTACAAGCAATGGCAGACACTGCCAAAAAAAGCTGGAAATGTCAGACATGCGTGATCTTAGCCGCTCGAGGCTCCCCAAAAGTAACGAGGCATGCACAAAACGAACAGTCGCTCTCTGAAAAGATGCTCATAGAAATCAAGAAAAAGCTGAATGAACTGCCCGAAATCAAGCAGAAGCTCGATGTCCTTTTCCGGGTCAAGGAAACCGTGGAAGGTATGGAAAAGTCTGTGCAGCATTTTTCAGATCAGAACGATAAAGTATTAGCAGAAATGAAGCTTCAGTCAACTGAGATTGTTGCTTTCAAAAAAAAGAGTTGAAGACATTGAGACCACGAACGCTGACCGGGAAGTCGTGGAATTGCGACAACAAACAAACAGCCTCGAACCATATAGTCGAAGGAATAATTTGGAAGTGCATGGACTTGTGCGGGTTGAAAATGAAAATCTGTTACTAATGATCAATGCAATTGCACAGGACTTAGAGCTGCCTCAGTTAACTAAACATGACGTGGAAGGCCTTCATAGACTGCCAACTAAACGTGGCGAAACCCCAGCAATACTGGTCCATTTTTCCTCGCGTGTAATAAAGATCAGTGGATGGCAAAAAGACAGGGTATGCGGCAGTCTAAGTCAACGGTGTACTTCTTGATAATTGACGGCACAGAACAAAAAGCTTATGTGGATGATGAGGGCAAAGACTACAGAAAAGCAATATGACTGCCTGGCACAGCCATGGGAAGCTGTTTGTGCGCAAGCGCAGCGGTGAACCAGCAATACAGATTTCATGTGATGCCGACCTAGAAAAGATAATCTAGAGGATCGCCGCTGTTTTCTTGTCATTCTTATCTGTTTTACTTTTTTTTTCTTCATGGCAACACAAAACACGCAGCCTTACTACGATGCTTCATCTTTTAATTTAGCGGTGCGCAGTTCCCTGGTTTGTGAAACTGACAGGATATCGCTTTTTCACGTTAATTCGATATACTCGCTTTCACGGAAATTTGGTTCACAAGTGAAACTGATGTGCCGTTTTTTGGATACAAATCTGAGGGGGTATACAGAAAAAGTCTCAAAGGTGGTGGCATTGCATTGTACTTCAAAGAAAATCTTCAGTACGAGGTATTGTCAGACTTTTCTCTTCTCTGTACTCATGAATCTATTGCTGTGAAGTGTTCTGGAACTCTGGTTGCTTGTGCTTACCGCCCCATCAAGTGAAACTGTCGAATTTGTTCAGTTCATGCGTGACCTCCTTGAATATGCATGTACCCTCAATATGCCTGTTATCTTAGTTGGAGATTTTAATATTGATCTTTAAAAAAAACAGCTTGCCACGTTGTTTATTTCTTGAGGTCATTAATACATTTGACTGCTCTAATGTAATCCAGTCACCATGAGAATAAATGTGGAGAGTGATACATTACTAGATCTTTGTGTCACAAATCATGAGTTGTCTAGTATTTTAGCAGGAGTGCTCACATTTGATTTAAGTGATCACCTACCTATTTTGTTTCTTTCCCAGATTAATGAGCAAACGAAAAAACCACCAACACAACAAATATTATACCGTAGTTATAACCAGGATAATCTCGCTACGTTTCGAGCTATGGTCGAAAGCATCTCGTGGAGCGACGTTTACAATGAAAAAAATCCTAGTATTGCGTGTGATATCTTCGTTGAGTTAATAAAAGACAAATATGATAGCGCATTTCCTTTATTGGTGAAAAAATCTAGCAAAAAGTCCTGAAAGCCGTGGGTAACAAGGGAGTTATACAAACTAATTCAGGCACGTGATAAACTATTTCACAAATTTATTGAAGTAAAAGACCCAGTTTTACTTAACGAATATAAAAAAATTAGAAACAAGTTAGGCTCTGACATTAAATAAGACCGGAAAGAATATTACAAGAATAAATTTGCTGCAGTCTCAAACTGTCCAAAAAAAAATCTGTAATCGTCTCCACGAATTAATGGGCAAGCTTACCTGTCATGTCCCTAGTGAACTAACACTCGATAATGTCGAATATAGGGCGGTGCTTTGGCAGACAAATTTAATGAGCACTTCCTATCTTCTGGAGAATCGTCACACAATGAAGATAGAAAGCATGAAATTAATGGGTACATGGCTGCTCCAGTCGTCAGTATTTGTTTTTTAAAACCGTGCAGTGAGCATGAAGTGTTCACTTTCCTGAGTAATTTAGATAAAGGTACTGCGGCAGGAGCAGATGAAATCAAGGCTGAACCAATTATCGCTGTTGCCGATTTAATCAGTGCCCCACTACAGCACATATGTAATGATGCTTTAGGTCAGGGTGTTTTTCCAGACAGTATGAAAATCGCAAGAGTGGTTGTTTTGCACAAAGGTGAGCCTAATGACAACATCTCTAATTATAGACCTATATCTGTCCTACCTTTGTTTTCTAAACTGTTAGAATACTTGATAAAAGATAGACTATGTAAATTATTTTACAGTAAACAAGTCCTTGTGAAAGGGCAGTTTGGGTTTCGTCAAGGGAAGTCAACGGAGATGGCACTACTCAGCATAAAAGAAAAAATGCTTTCTAATATAGATGAAAAGCGATTCACTGATCTTTTTTTTTTTATTACTGTACAAGTATGTACTCCATTTACTCTGTACAAAAACAATGTTATGCATGCATTATTAGTGTGTTATTTTGTATTTCTTTTTATATTGTATGCTCTGAGTGGTGCTTTCGGATACTTGGATCCCGTCAGGCAGAGGACATCTGCCTTTTGCCCTTGTATCTGAGACATACATTTTTCTGAAATAAAGACAACAACAATAACAACAACATTACTGGAGCCCCCCCCCCCCCCCCCCCCTCTGCCACATTTATCGTCTTCACAACGGACCCAGCGTTTCATGATTCAATACATTTGCGACTGTACCAGAGCCAGAAAGGCAACTTTGCCACAATTCGAGTAGGATGGCGTCAGGCACATTAAAAAATCTGAAGGGGCCACTACTAATTTGACGACTTCATTGTCTTCGGGAAGTCCAAATAGTTCTGAATTGCAAAATTCTAGTCGACCTTGAATCGAATAGCACACCATTTGAAAAATTATCAGGATTTCATATTCGCCCACCTCTACAAGCTGCAGCTGCAGTACAGGCAAGCCAGCTTCACATATTCCAAACTATCACAGCAAGTAGGGCCTGCATTTATTTCAGGTTTACGCGAGACGTGCAGCCGCAGCGAAGGAATCTTCGCTGGCGCAGCATCAAGCCGTGGCCAGAAATCTCAGGTTCTAGAAAATTGCTTTTGTTTATGTTAACAGCATCTTTTTTTTTTGTAGTCCAGTATTATTCAAGCATTTTACCGCCACTCCCTGTTCAAAAAAGAAGCCTTTTACCACTATGCGAAGCACACAGGAGTCAAATTTTACTTTAACGAAATTTCGATGTAATGAAATAAAGTGCCGACTTTATAAACTTTGTTCATTCCGTATGGGATTCAGAGGAAATGAATGGAGCTGTGCAGACCATATCGGGGCACCTGACCTGGTGCCGGAAGGTAAACGTAGTCGGAGACGGCGGAGAACTAGGAAGTGCTACAGGTCTTATGTTTACATGCTACAACGCACAGTGGGCTCACCTTTTTTGCCTGTTCAGGCTTTGCGCCATCCGCTAGAGAGTGCCTTGTTTCATCATCATAGGAGTCGACGGCAACCTTTGAAACCACGAGTCTCTGAACAGTGCAGTAAATAAAAGAAGAAAATAATGAAATGATTGAGCAATAACATTTGGTCAGAGGCTACACATCAATTAATTTATATCACTTCGGGCAAGCAAGACGCAGGGAAATGACAATATGTACAAGAGTTTTCGCATTCTCTTCTCGACAAGCCAGTCTGTACAGTAACAGCTCGTTATTTCAACAATCATTAATTCAGGAAACCCTATAATTTGGACGTGTTTTGCAGTTGCAGCCAACATATGCACTCTTCAATGGCATTAAACTCTCCTCGATTCGGTCATACTTGGCCACAAACTGGTTATATTAGAACTACCCTCGGAGAGTGCCTAGCGCAAAGCGCTGCGAATGTGCTACACAAAGAGATAAAAAAAACGCGTTCATGGAAGGCCAATCGGCTGTAGGCTTTTCAGAAAGGCGTGGTTACCACCCACAATGATGTTGCTGCTTCGTGAGGGCACGTTTAGGATTAAGACAGAGAAGTCCTGAGCTGCATTCAAGTAGTGAAGAAAATTTGAAATGATGAAAATCGTGACTTTTGCACTGCTCTTATGCATAATAGCTACATCTCAGGAAAATGAAAAGTGCATTAACATAATAGGCACATACTTATTGCTTTCTTGACATTCTCGATAGTTTAGCATTTGGTTAATACGGACAGTTGTGCTTGTTTAGTCTAATCCAAACTAACA